TATAAAATCTTTGGGCAAAATAAGGTTTAAGAAAATGAAATCAAGAATCAAGGTGTTTTGCCTTGGCGAGGTGAGGCGTAAGCCTAAAAAAAATACTAAAAACATTATAAATAACTCATAAAATGACAAAAATGAAATAAAACAACCACATAATTATTTGTATGAAAGTAAAATATTATGGAACACAAAAATTTCAAACTAGATTCAAATTAAACACTCAATTAAAACCTAAATACGCCCCCAGAATCAAAACTCAAGGTAGCCTCATCCTCACTTTGACATTGACATTCTTTAGAAGAATACTCATAGTCTGTGTCAAAGTCATCTTCAAAATCTTCTTCAACTAAAATATTTTTTCTTATCCCCTTAATATTACGTATGTGTAATATAAAATAAAATAATAAATTAATAACACAAAAAACAATCAATTATAGTTAATATAACCTTTAGATTTTTTTTGAGCTCCAACCTCACTTTACTTCTTCCTGTTATATACTTATAAAGTAGAAGTTGCTCCCATTAGCTTGCATATGGGAGGTGACGGTAGGTTAAGTATTGTGTAATATTAAAACAAATCCTAAATTAAATCTAAGTGTTTGGATGGCACCTCAAAATGCCTCGATGAATTAAACCTCAATACGTATGTCTCGTATGAAATAGGTGTAAGCCTCACCAGAATTGGTGAGGCTTAACCCTCAATGTGCCACCATCCCACAACTCGATCACCTTTTCAAACCATGGACAAAATTGCTCTAAATATTTCAAAGTTCATCTAGATCAAGAGATATCAAACAATCAAGCACAAGGGATACATTCAAATGATCAAAGCCTTCATTCTTCCACAACAGTTGTTGCTCCAATTCAAGTTTGCACTTAGAATTTAGAACCAATGGATTTTCTTTTGAATATAGGCTTGTTTTGTTTGCCCTTACTAATCCTACATAAATAGTCTCTACATCATCTATAATCAGTACCATAGATATTAATCCTCCTATTCTTGCAGTTCCTCATCTCCCTCCTATTTATAAAAATTGAGGAACCTTCAGATTCTGATGGGAGTACGCCGGAGTGATGATACTCTTGTGGATAGTAAGTTTCAAATCCTATTTACTAGACAACATTGAAATTTAATAAAAAAAGTAAATTCATCATCACATTTTTTAACCACACTTCATGCAAAGCAATCCAAATGAGTAGTTTTCAGATTATGATGGATCATTTACCTTATGTATTTTTATTGTTTTCCCTAGCAATTCTGGTTAATTGCCCCTGTTGTACTCATATCATTTTCTAATAACAAAAATTACGCTTTAATTAAAAAGGTAATAAGTTTATGTCTGATTGAACTTTTTTTTACTCTATTGTGCAATAAATTGATTACTTTATATCAAATTTCTTCTGTGCATTGAAGTTTGCAATCACAAATTAATTCTACAATACAATGTATATTAAACTATCGTATTATCTAAAATTTAATATAACAATTTTTCTTGCTAACGCATCATGATATCACCATGAATATTCACAAATTATTAAGAGGCAAATATGTATGACCATCTAAACATGTGGAACAAATTGAACGAAGGATGGATGGCATAGAAATCAAGATAACTATAAGTAAAAAAAAAAAAAAATTTAAAATCTAGAAGATAAATTTGATCGAGAAAAAAGAAGTTAAGATGTATGGCCAAATGGAAGACCTAACCAAAAAAATCTTGATGAGGAATCTGTCACGTTGTCCCTTACCTAGCCACCTATAAAGAATCTACCTCATACGAGAAATTCGCCTATTCTAGACATCTTAAATATTTTAGTAAAATTGGCTAATGACGCACAATTAAGAAATATTGTAGTAGAAACCTAAGTGAACCTACTCGACTTCTTCAGCTTGTCAGAAATATCCTTGAGATAAGTCCATATATAAATCATAATTAGCATGCCTAGATGTATGTCTTGTGTTTCTGTCTCTGCCATTAGTAAGGTGGTTAAAATCAGATCGGATATTACATAAATAATAAATGAAGTATATAATTTATTTAACATTATTAATTTAAAATAAATGCTATTTACATCATAAAATGTTTATTTAAAAAATATGTTTTAAAATATATAATGTATGTTGTAAACTTAAGAAGTAAAAAGTTCAACTTATTTAATCCAACATCATTTGGAAACTTCCTCATGGTAATGTTTATATTATTTTTTGAGTTTGGATGAGGTAAGAACTCACATAGAGTGATGAAGTAAGGTGAATTGTTTAGATATAATTTCTTTATTAAAAATAATATACAATTTAAATTTAAATTAATTTGTTAAAATACAAATAGTGTTTAATATTTTATTCTTCATATATTAAATTAATTTATTTAATTATTTAAATAGTTCATAAATTGAACCGACTGATTAAGGGAACCAGGACTAGTTCACCAGTTTGTCAGTTATGGCCAGTTCAGCCCAATATTTTTTGCAGAAAAGGTTTTTAGGATGAACCGGACCGGCCTTAAGATCGATTCACAGTTGAACCGATCGGACCTGCTAGTTCGATATGATTTATAAAACCCTGTCCATTAGCACATTGAGTAGTAGCATCTGAAAGTGCTACAAATATTCTAACAAGATGAAGATATAATCTACCTTCAAAATATTTAATGATTCTTTGAATATAATGCATTGTTACTCTAGCATTTTCAAAGATTCAACCCACATTATTCTCCAAAGGACAGTTCTAGCTAAATTGTTATCCATCATTAAATTGATAATAATTAAGATAGATACAAAATTGTTGAAATTTTCCCTACAATAGCAACTTGATATTCAAACACCAAAGTTTGTTATGGTCAAATTTTAACCAATCAAATACTTCCACATAAAAATTTAGTTGCTTGGAGAGCTCACTTAATCTAATCGCTATCAATCTATAGAGGAAATTGATGTAACACAAGAATGAGATATTAATGTAAGATAACAAAGAATTGAAGATATTAATTTGGCTAAATGAATAGCCTTCTCCACAACTATTTTATTGTATGATTACAATATTTTCATATAATCCTAATATAATCATTTAATTTTAATGTTATTTCTGATTCCTTTTATGTGTTTGTGTTAAACTTGCAAGTATCAAAAAAGAGATCATATCGAAAGTATTTTGGATCATTATCACTGCCATACATGAAAATTTAGCTATCTAGCATGCCAATTTAATACCATCGTGCACATTTGTTTGAGAAAATCTCCCATGGGTAAAATTAACCTTCGAAGCAAGCTAAGTCAAGCCATGGAGATGGGAGCACGAAGTAGTTTCTTCATGAAGATTAGAGTGATCTTGATGTAAATTCGCCTTAAAATTTCTGAGAGACCTTGTTGTAACTTTTTCTAAAAAATTTGGAGTGGACATGAAGTAGCCTCTCCATAAAGACTCCTAATATGGGGGAAATAAACGATGAAAACACTAACATTTTACATATTTCGTGAAATTATGTGGCTGGCCAAGAAAGTTGATGTATTTATTTTTCATTTTCTTATTTAACATTTGGTATTTTTATATCTTTCTACATTCTTTCATGATGTGTGAGCTATAAAAACTAATGAAAATTTAGGTTGTAAGCATTATAATTTAAATACAAAGATAGTTTACTCATTTCTTTCAATCAAAGATTGATGTCTTGATTTAACTATCTCTGAAGTTTATGTAAATTGGATCCAAAAGGAGATATTCAAGATTCAATGGTTTAATCAAAGTTGAATCGAGTGTAGTATTGGATGATGTAGTAAATATTATAATTATTTAAATATGATTTAAATGACATAATAATGAGTCAGTAATAATGTAATAATGCAAATATGTTACTAAATATAAATAGAACTTATACATTTAATATAATTTAAAACACCTACTATCTTTAAATTTAATATACATTTAATATTAATTTAATTTATGTATAAACTTATAATTTTATTATAAATCATTGCTAATTCATATTATAGGTTTAAATATAACTTTAAGCTTATAGATCATACACTAAAATTCACATTATAAATTTGCACCTATAGAATATTCACGTTACATCATTTATAATTAAATAAATAGCTATCAATATAAAATTTTACATTTCATTAATTTAACAAATCCAAATATAATAAAAGAAAGAATTTAAAATTCTAACCCACTGCTAAAATTAAGGAGAATAAAACTTTTAGAATTCAATATAAATAACCTTTTTTCTAGATTCAAGATAACTAATTTATAATTGCAAGGTTTAAATTCTAAGAATCCATAAAGAAAAGGATAAGAACCAAAATTCAAATGAAATCCAAATTACCAACTCTCGAGCCCAACCCACTAGCCCGCAAGGGACTGGCCAATTAACCAATTGTCATCCACCAGTTAAGCCTTAGCTGACTTGAGGGTCGGTTTCTATGTTATCACTTCCAAATGACCAGCTAGCTCAAAAGATCTGTTAAGATCATATGGTTAATTTTTGCGCTAAAGATTGAGTAGTTTTTTTCTGATGCTTTTGAGGATTCATCATCCAAAGCTTGAGGATTTTTTTTTTTAACATATTTCCTTTCTATTTCTCCAAGCAGACCCATCATAATTTTTTCCTAACAAACATTCCAACAGAGATAATCTTATGATAGTCAGATTTATAACTTATTTCAAGGACAAAAAGAAGCACAGCCCAAAATAATTTCAAGCAAAGCTTGCCAGTTATAAACTCAAGACATTTATACGGAAAAAACTCAGGGCTTATTAGAGTAAAGATAATAGCAAAATAACCTGATAAGCCTCATGGTTCGCAACAATTCTCCTAATGATTGTGGCCGAATTTTCGGAGCCCACAAGATAATCTTATGATAGTCAGATTTATAACTTATTTCAAGGACAAAAAGAAGCACAGTCCAAAATAATTTCAAGCAAAGCTTGCCAGTTATAAACTCAAAACATTTATACGGAAAAAACTCAGGCCTTATTAGAGTAAAGATAATAGCAAAATAACCTGATAGGCTTCATGGTTCGCAACAATTCTCCTAATGATTGTGCTAGTTGTGATGTCTAGAGGGCTTTCTATTATTTGGAAGATGCCCATATCCATTGGAACAGCATAAGGATTTGATTTCTCCTGCTTGTAAGTCTAGCAAATCAGGATCATATCTTAATATTACAATAAGGATATAAATAAATAAATAGATTTACCTTAATATAATCCATGTTTTCAGCAATTGTTCCATGAACAACCAACGAGATATTGAAGGTTGTAATCTGCAATATAGTATAAATTGGGCATATTCAATTAGAAACAAAGCTACAAAATCGACATCCTCGAGTAATGCCAAAAGAAATAGCAAGTGACGAAATGCAAATAAGATGGGAAAAAAAAAGATGACAAAATATGCATTAGAACGGCAAAGAAGATATCAGTAATATTGGCTCTCTGATATGGTATAGCACAATATTATTAAATAAAAGCAACTAGAATTCTATAATGGGAAGTAACGGCAAATCACTATCAACTCATAATGTACAAAAGTGAGTTGCTAAGAAATGATATGCAAGATTTTCAATTTCGAATAGATAGTTTCTCATCTTTAAACATTCAATCAACTAGTCAGCCTTCTAACATTGATATAATGGAGAGAGCCGTCACACATCCAACAAAATATAACGGATACGAAGGAAAGAAATCTTATCAAAATCCTAAGCTAGAGCATATGCCATTGTGAAAAATGTATAAAAAAGACAAATTTAGCATACAACACTACAAATGAACATTATGGCTATATCAAATCATTAACTGATAGTTAGGTTTTCATCAAAAGGGGATTTGAAACCTATGCAACACCAATACAGATGTTTTCTATCATTTTTGGAGTAATTCCTAGTGTGCACGTTAATGAGTTAATCTCATGCAAAAATTATAAATCAAAAATTCCAAAGCCATGCAGTCAAATAGACTTCCTTCGCGAGTACAGAGCATTATAATAAAGTACTTAAATAATGAATTTGGCTGTTGGCATTGCAAAGTGAAACATGACAGTACACATCTAGCAATGCTTTGATCCTAGCCTCATTAAAAATAAAATCAGAATTTCAATTTACAGTTATTTGCAAAGAAAATTAAATGCAAGACATTACGAAAAACACTGCAGAGGCTAGCAAAGAATATGCTGCAAAATGAAGCTAACCATGTCCTTTGAGATCTCCTTTGGTGCTCCAATAATCACCTCATCCACATAACGACATGCCAAAACACTCAGACTTCTCTCATGAAGATTCATAATTGGACGATGAGCTCCTCGGTTAGAACTGCAAAATTGCATCCTTTAGTATCTGAAAAAGTAGGTGCTATGAAAAATGCCAAAAAAAAAAACCAAAAGCACTTGTCTTCAAGTGCAAATCATTGATGGAGAAAATAGAAAAATATCAAGATATGCTGAAGCTGATATCAAAAGGTACTGAAAATTGGTTATTGTTTCAACAGATTGTAGCCTTTTTTTCAAGAAGGGAAAAGATGGGTTGAAGGTGGGGGTTAAATTGAAGTACTCCTGGGGGTTAAATCGATCAAGAGGTGTCTCCCAACATGGAATCTTTGAATTTTCATATTAATTGCAAGCTCAATTCCTGCTATTAAAGTCTCATATTCAGATACATTGTTGGTAAGAGATTTGTTAAGCTGTAAGAGTATAGGAGTATGCCTCCTTGTGGGGTGATGAATATAAGGCCAATCTCAACCTGTACTATTGGGAGGTTAAGTGGTTTGGCTAGTTTTATTGACGAAGTTCTATCGAAATAGAGCTCCTATTCCTATAGATGTCTCTTCTCCTACTTAGAGGATTGTCATCTCGTAACTCATCATTAAGTAGGGAATTTGTAACTAAGAAGTTAACTAGGGCATGTCCTTTCACAACCTTTTGTGGAGTATATGTAATGTCAAATTGTATTAACAATACTGCCCACCTAGCCAGATGACCTGTGAGAGTGGGTTTAGTCATTAAGAATTTAAGAGGGTCCACTTTAAATATTAAAGTTATCTTATGAGCAGACATAGTATTATAATTTTTGCGTGGCAAAAATTAATGTAAAGTATTGTTTTTAAATTAGATATCTTGATTATACCCCTATTAACCATCGACTAATATAGTAAAGAATATTTTCTTTTACATCCTCATTATTTTATACTAGCAATGCCCCGAGTGATTTCTCAAAAGCCGTTGTATATAAGATTAGTGATTTTTCCTGAGATAGGGGCAGTGAGAATTGGAGGATGTAGCAAATATTATTTTATGTTATCAAAAGCCACCTGATAAATATTGTCCCATATAAAAGAGGTGTTTTTCTTCATCAGTCATGCAAAGGGTTAGCATCTACCTGAAAGTTTAGATATAAACCTTCGGATTTATATCAATCTTTCTTTGATTGAACGAAGTTGTCTTCAAAATTTTACTAACAAAATTTTCACAATTGTTTTAATTTTAAAATGGTCAATTTCGATTTTTGTATGACGCACAATAAATGCCAAAAAATTTACAAATGATGAAACACCAAAAGCATATTTTAGTAAATTCATTTTAAGATTGAACTTTAAAATTCTTTTAAATACAATTCTAAGGGCATTTACAAGCTTGTAATAAACTTTACTCTTTACAATCAAATAATTAACATGAAACCTCATTTATTTGTGTATAAGATCATCAAAGATATGGGTCATAGCCCTCTGGTAGATGGCTCCAACATTTTTTAAGTCGAATGGAAGAATCTTATAGCAGTAATTACCAATGAGAGTGCGGATAAAGTGGGTTTCTCATCTTCTAGATCCATCTTAATTTGGTTGTGACCTTATAACCCATCCATAAATGAAAATATATCATAATTTAATGCATTATCAATCATGAGTTCTGCATTAGATAACAGAAAGTCATCTTTTAAATATGACTTGCTTAAATCCTGATAGTCAATGCAAACATAAATTTGACCATTCTTTTTCTTTATTGGAACAATATTAGCAATCCAATCAGCATATTTTTCTTCTCAAATGAATATGACTTCAGTGAATTTCTCTGTTTCAGTAATGGCGGCATTTTTGTGTTGATGGAGAGTTTGTGGATTGCTACTTCTGGTGATAAGTAAGGTATTTCATTATAATTCCATGTAAAACAATATTTACACTCATGAAGTAACATTTTTAACTCCTCTACTATGTCAAGTGAGAGGTTAGTGCTAAGAAACATGGGCTTAAGATCCTCTTATGTACTAATATTTACTTCTTTGAGCTAGTCCACAATAGAATGGTCGCCTTCTTCAAATTCTTTTGTGGCATCTTTTAGATCAACAATTATATCTTCAATCTCATTTTTAGGCTCAGGGGACCCTCTTCATCACCTGAAATAGCATAGCATGTGACTCATGCAAGATGCATAGCACGAACATGCCAAAGGCCCCACATTACAAACTTTCCATATCCAATAAGAGTTTGAATATGCCCTCTGTTTCGAAGTCTTTTAAAATAACAAGCTTTCTTATTCATTTGCCTCAAAGAAACATTTCTTACAATAAGTCTTTTCAAAGGGGGCTAGAAGTACTGAGAGATAGTCGGTGGTGTATCCTCATCCTTTAAATTATCATTTTCTCATTCTAATGATTTGATATCCCCTTTGATTTACAGAAAAGGATTCCATGCTCATCGTGACCTCTCTTTGGGGTGACATAGAATGTTTTCAACCTTTTTATATTCATGTTTCTTGAGAAATTCAAAATTTTAACATGTGCAATTTGAATGAATGTCATTTTTATACTATTAATGGAAACTTGTAGCCATACCCTCATTAAAGAGATGAAGGATTTCTTTAACTGTTTAATTATGGAGTTGATCCCCGGATCCCCTTTATCGTGGTGTTTTTAGGTTGACAAAAGAATAATTCTTCTTCATCATTTTCACTATCACAACTAAGGTGAGGCACTGAAGTAGGTCGCTTTAATTCATTCTCGCCTTTGGCTTTTGGTTTTAGTTTGATGAGTGGAGGCGTCTGATCCTTCAAAAGGTTACCACCTTTTGACTTCTGAGTTATAAAATATTTGATGTCATCATAGATTTTGATCTCAAGCACTAAGAATGGTTGTTTGTCACCATCGACTTAATACTCGTCACCATCTCGAATGTATTTCACACATTGGTGAAGAGTTGAAGGCACAATACTATATTCATGAAGTCAAGGTCTTCCATGGAGTGTCCTATAAGAAGTATCAAAACCAATTACATGAAATTTTGTCTCTATGTAAAGCTTCCCAAAGTGTAGGGATAAAATAAGAGATCTTAAGATTCTTTGTCCTTGTTCATTGACTCATTGAAGGAATACTGTGCTTTTATTTAGGTATTGAACATCAAGAGCTAATCCTCTAAGTATTTTAAGGCTCATTAGATTAACAAAGGAGCCAGGATCAATAAGGATTCTATTCATTTGAACATTATTATTTTTTGTTGTAACATAAAATGGTCGATTATGCTCTGTTGTTCCTAAGAGAAGATCATCATCATTAAAAGTGGTTGCAGCAATAGTTTAGGCTTCCTTCATGGTTTGCTCTGCAAAGAATGATTCATATTTTTCTAAATTTTGTAAAACTTTAATGAGTTTTTCCCGAATGTTTTTAGATATAATGAGAGCAACCTAAATGCTTAATAATGCTGGTAGTTTGCAAAGATGAACCAATACATTATAATCCACAATTATATTAGTAGTTGTCTTTTGCTTATGTAGGTTTTGTGGCATAACATCCTCATTAAGTTGAATATCCTTCTCTTTATCATTTATTTTCTTTTACTGAGGGGGGGCGACTATCTTCTCAATCCTTAATTAGAACCACGTCACTTCTTCAGATGAGCTGCCATCAATAGAAGAGGCTTTGAGTTCACTTCTTTTTCAGATTCCCCGGAATCCTTCAAACTGCTCCCAAGCCATGGACACTTAACTTTAAGGGTTGTTTTGATCTTCTTGTTATTCTCATCATCAGGAACATGAAGCTCTTTATTTGAATTGGTGAATGGTGATGTTATGCAACATATTTCTTTAGAATGAGCTTTCAAGTTAGCCATGTGGAGAATATTAAGAGGCCTACAATTTCCTCTTGCGGCCCTTCCATCTCGACAACTTATGACTCAACAAGTTTCTATAGGGATACTATGTGCTTCATCTGACTTTGGGTTAAGATGTTGCTCAATCATATATTCCTCCATCCATACAAGGCATCTAGAAGGTTGTTCATATTCATCAATGGAGTCGATGTACTTTTGAATTTCAATATTTTGTTTTCTTAATTTCTTCTTCTTTGATCTCCGAGACTTTGATGTAGGATATTGCCTATCTCCTAGACCCTTAGGTATTTTAAGGATTTCCTTTTAGTTGGCATGGGCTCTTTCATGGTTAGCTTCTTCAAAGAGAGGAGCTTCGGATCGACTTCCAATTCTAAAGAACTCTTCTGACGAATACCTTCTATGGCCAACAAGATGTTAATAATCCATCTTCTTCAAGATAAAGATTTCTCAACCACATTCTTCTTCTTGCGGTTCATTGCTACAATTATTTTTTATATCTTGGCTTGGAGTGGAAGAGATGACATTGGTTTTTTCCATCTTGGTATTAATCAAGATGCAAATTCAGAGAGTAAGTTCAACATTTTGATAACTTCTTTCAACGCAATCTTGAATACAAAACAATCTTCGATCGAATGACTAATGACCCTATGATATAGACATTAATTTGGATCATTGACCATATCGGCTTGTTTAGGTCGACAAGTCTCTGGTAATTGAAGACCAATTTTGAGTGCATGTCGAAAGATTTTTGCGGTACATTCTTTCTAAAAGGAGTATGGTTTATTTATTTTCTCTTGGAGTGTAGGACCCTTTTGACCTTCCTTTCCTTGCTTTATCATCTTGAGCGAGGCAGTTGACTCTCCTTTTCCCTTTTGGTCAAACAAAAAAGTGAACATTGTATTCACATCATTCTTTCTGGGGTCATAAGTTTTGACTTGCATTCCTTTTCTAAAAGGGTTATGATTATAATTGTTGGTAAAACCCCTACGCATGGGCAATCTTTCAAATTTGGCCACGTGACCTAATAACTCCTGGAAGGTATTGATCATAGCCATGGATACATAAGGAATCATTTGGCCATCAATATTCCCCATTAGAAGTTCCACGACTGTTTTTCAATGAGTTCTTCACAACGCATGCTAAGATTTTGCCATCTAGTGATATATTTAATAGCATACTCATCATTTCTTCTTCTTTCAAGAGTGAGGTCTATAATAGT